GGTCCGGGAAGATCCCACGTGCCGCGGAGCGGCTGGGCCCGTGAGCCATGGCCGCTGAGCCTGCGCGTCCGGAGCCTGTGCTCCACAACGGGAGAGGCCACAGCAGTGAGAGGCCCACGTACTGCAAAAAAAAAAAAAAAAAGTTTCAAGAGACAAAGACAGGAACTGTCTCAAGTTGAAGGAGACGAAAAGGGGGTAGGACAGTTCAGTGCACACGTGCTCCCGGCCCAGATGCTGGTCCAGAAAATGGGCACCAGTGGGATAGCCGCTGAAATGAGAATGAGGTCTGGGGACTTGTTAGGAGTCCTGTCTGTCTGACTCACCACGTGCAAGCTCCTTAGGGTCAGAGGCCACCTCCCCGTCATCCTGCCAGGCCACTCAGCTTGCCAGTGCATTGGTTTGAATTTTTTCCTCTAGAAGAAAGGTGACATTCACAGTTAGTTCGTAAAAGTCTCCACAAAACTAAAAGTCCTCATGAGGTAGAAAACTTTGTCTTTTAGCGAAGGGAGAGAAACCGCCAGGATCACTGCTGCCGCACCGAGTTTTGGTGAATAAAAGAGGACCCAGCTAAAGGTGGAGGGCATCCCCTTGCCAAGCATCCTCTGTAAGGAGATCTGGTCTGCAGGCTCTTCTTGTGCCAGCCATGGGGGCCTGCACTGTCACTTTTCTTCTGCTGGTTCAGTGTGGCACAGCCAATTTTGAATCTTATCAAAAGGAAGAAATCTTAAAAAATAAAAACGAATTATCCAGAAAGGTCGCTTACTTTGGAGTGCGTTCGGGTATTTACACCCTCACACTTTGCCCGCTAAGAATGCAGGTTGGCCAGGAGCAGCCTGTTGGCGGAGAGGAAGGCGGGTCACGGGGTGTCTGTGTATCATCGGGAGTGGCCTGTCGTGGTGAAGCTGCCCCTAGTTGTCATTTTGATATTTTCAATGACAAGTGCCACGTCCCTAGAGACATTAAGAAGTGATGGAGTCAGAAGGCCTAATTCTGAGTGGTCCATGCTCAGGGTGACCCTGTGACCTTGGATATGTCCCTTGTCCTCTCTTGGCCTCAGTTTTCACGTTTGTGAAAATGGAAATTGTAACTTGCTCCACTTTGTCATAGTTATTGTAAAGATCAAATGAGCTAGCGTTAGTCAGTGTGATACATGGGGTGTAAAGTGTTCTGCAAGTGTATGATGGGATTATCCAGCCAGGGGAGTAGCACTTGGTGTTATCTACTCATGGCCAAGGGGTAGTCTTCAGATATGAGTCCTGAATGCACACTGGGGGCTGTCCAGCAGGAGATGCTAGACTTGGAGTAGACATGCCTTGGGGATTTACCAGGTGGGCATTATTGACAGAATTAGGTGTACGCCACTGAAGAAATCCAAGTGAGATCAAAAATCTCGTTCCTAGAATTCCATGAGTTTTTAAAAACTGATTGCTTGAAAATGACTAGGAACTTCAGTGAACTGGACACATTTTAATCTCCTTTGTGATGTTTTATTATTACTTGTTAAGCTATAACTTAGGCTTCCAGGTAATATAAGCTAGAAGGAATAAAAAACGGTTACTGTTCCTTAAGGGGGAAACGTAAGGATCCACTGCCACCACCATCTTCCTTTCTTGGAAGCAAAGTTGTATAATCTGAAAAACCTGACATTCCATATTGAGGGTTTATTGTAAGGTAGTAAAACCAGATTTTATATCTCGTTTATTCCTACAACTTCTGATGTGCTTCCAAAAATGGTATTAAGGCAGCAGCTGAGGAAGTTTTATGAGATAATGAAGCAGAACAGTTACTGAAAGCCATCTGCTTCGTTGTTTACAAACTCGCTTCAATACTTCAGAGGCAGTGGTGGGCTACGTGTCTAAACTTCACAAGCTGCACTAGGTAGACTCCATGAAGTGTGCCCGGGCCGGGCTGAGCTCCGGCCCTCTCTGTGCAGGGGGAGCGGTTGCCAGGCAGGCCTGCTGGAAGCTAGCAGAAAGCACCACACAGAGGTGATTATGTGCCACCATCTGTCACGCTTCAAGCCTACCATACAGCATGGCTAATCAGCCTTGGCAGGATGATGGATGAACGGCAGCAGCTGCCAGAAGCCACTGTTGGCAAACAGTCCTGAAGTTAAGAACTTCTCCCCCCCCACCCCGTCTCCCTCTCCAGGGTCCTGCTGCGTGTCCGCATGCTGTACTACCTGAGACAAGAAGTGATAGGAGACCAGGCGGAGAAGATCCTAGAGGGCGCCGACTCAAGGTTGGTGTGAGCCCACGTTCACCCCGTTCCCCTCGGCGATGATCCGGGCGGTCGGAACACAGCACGGAGCGCGCCTCGAACCTCCGTCAGCCATCAGTGGCGCCTCTCCCTCTTTGCATCTCAAGAGCAGTTGTTTGCCCTACCAGCCTGGGGACGTGATGAGAATCGGGAAAAGCCTGTTCATATGTATGTGTGGATGTACGAAAAGGTGTGAACTAAATGACCGGTGTTCTGAGCTGACCTTTAAAATGGGGCCCTGCGTGGTAAAGTTCACCTCTGGTCCTGGTAGGACGTGGCCGACTTCTGCCCTTTCTTTTAACCTTTGCTCACGCCGCCCCCAGCCCCACCTCACGATGCTCAGGTGCTTGTGGGAAGGGGGCACGGGTTGTGTTCGTCCCTTGGCATTCTTTTTTAATACTGGGATTTTTGTTTTAAATATCACGTAAATGGTTGTCTTTGTAGTGAAGCTGATGTGTGGATACCTGAGCCTTTCCACGCGGAAGTCCCCACAGATTGGTGGGATAAGGAAGCTGATAAGTCCCTCCTGATTGGAGTGTTCAAGCACGGTAAGGGGCGTCTCTGTTGGACCACATCTTGACCGTGTGGCTTTGTCTTTATTTAGAGCTCTTTGCATTCTCTTTCCAAAGTCATAATATTAATGAGGATAGTTCCAAAGGACTCTTGGCGTCTACCATTTCCTGTACTAAAAATCTAATATGAACTGTAAATATCAGATGCTGTTTTTGAATGTTTGTTGAGTATTTGAGAAGAAAACATTTCTTTCTTGGCTGTAAATAAAACCCAAGCCATATTTGTTTTAATAATAGCCAAGTTGTCCTATAGCTCTCCCTAAACTTTGCTTCCAGCATGGCTCCCCTTGCGAGCTCTGCCAGCCCGTGTCAAAGTGGACGGTGGGCTTAACCTCTGCTATTAATCTGTACAAGTGCCTCCTGGGCTTTGTTCCAAGCAATATTTCACAAATGTCAGTGCCGAGAACTCGTGGCTCCCCTGAGTGGGATGCAGCCTTGTTAACTTTGAAAGGCTGGGGATGCAGAACTGGCATGATATATACAGTGAACGATTCCTGATTATAATCCCGAGTCTCTGGAGGTCGTGGAGCGTATTCTCAGCAGCCCAGCCTGACTAAAGGGGAGAATGATGGCTTATAAAACCTTTCATGATTACAGTTTGGCTTGCGGCTCTAGAGCAGTTAGGAGCGGGGTGTGGTAGTACACATCCTAATTGAATTGTGCTGTTCTGCCTCTGTACCACAGCCGTGTTTTGTGAGCTCAGCCTAAAAATCATCTTCCCGCAGTGCACTGTTGGGATCTGCCATCTTCCATCTAGTCAACTTGGGCAGTCAAAAAGCAAATTGCAGTCTGAAAACCATAGAGGGAACAGTGTCATCTTACTGACACGCATCATCCTAAACCTAATAAGACAGGTTCGCCGGCCTGACGTATACAGGGATGTTTCAGCCGGCGGTGCATGTTCCTGCAGGACTGAAGCTGTTCCCAGGGAAGGTGGGGTGGACCACTGCAGAGGTCACAGAAGAACATTACGAAGCCTTTTAGTGCCAAGCAAAATTAGATCTTGGGGACAGTCGGGTCAGACATCTTCCCAGGCATCTTGCAGTTATCCTGAACCCGTTTTTCCGTTAGTATTTGCAGTCATTCTGATAACATCCCTGAAATGTAACCTGGCCCCCTCCTACCCCTCCAAATCTGCCCGGGGATGAGTGTTCCATAGAATAGACTACTACAGCCTGGTTCGTTTAAAGCCAACATACAATGATCATCTCAGTCGAGAGCCACGGGTGAGGTGGCCGTGCTCGTGATTCTGTGAGTGACGGGCCTTCGTTGTTTCCGTGTGTGTCCTATGTGGGCCGGTGGGACGGCACAGGGTACGAGAAGTACAATTCCATGCGAGCTGACCCCGCGCTGTGCTTCCTGGAACGAGTTGGTATGCCCGATGCCAAGGCCATCGCTGCCGAGCAGAGAGGAACAGACATGCTAGCAGATGGCGGTGATGGGTAAGAAGGACATTTTAAAATTTTAATAAACTTTATGTCAGTGTCACATCTACTGGCAGGGTTCAGTTCTTACACGGTACTGTGCATTACATTGCATCTGATTTGGACTTAAGTGATGTTTACCAGTGTAGTCTGTTTATATATCATAATGACTATTTAAACACAATATATGATCTAGATAATCTGCAACTTGTCTGTCTTTTCCAAATGATGACAACCCCCCGCCCCCCAACACGCACGCGCGCGCGCATACACACGCGCACACACACGCGCGTACGTGTACACACACACACACACACACACACACACACACACACACACACACACACACACACACACACACACACAC